ACATTTGGTCAACATTCCTTGACCATCACCATTGGTGAAGTATTCAATACTTCGAGGGTCATTACGGTCTAATTCATGGTGAAAGTCGGTCTAGCATGCTCTACAGACTAGATTCTGGTCAAGCAATTTAAGTTCTTCAGGTCTTTGAGGCACTTTGCATTAACAACAATGGTGGGTTCTTCTTCATGAGTAGTAGGTTTGCCATTGGTTATCTGTATCTTTGGTTATCCAGCTTGTAAATAGCAAGAAGGCAATCAATTCCGATATGACTATATTAATCAAATTGATGACATCTATTTTAAGGACAGTTTCTATAAAGATGTCCAGGTTGAGAGCAGGTTTTACAAATATCTTACTTTGGAGCTTGGTGAGGGCAGTGAGCAGAGATATGACTATATTGATGATAATGGTAACATTGGTTATAAGGGCAATCAGCGAAAAGATGACTAGCAGAGTTGCATCCTCGGTAAATTCTACTAGATGATACTTAGGGAGTTCGACGTCTAGATTTGGAGGTTTGAATAATCCAAGAGTTTTCGTTCGTTGAGGTTGTAGGGATAACAGTATAAGCTTCCTTGGGGTTAGGTATTCCTGTTCAAACTGAGCTAACTCTTTTTTATCAGTAACAGTAGGTTGGGCAGGTAGAGGTTGATGCTGTTCATAGGTAGTAGGAACATAAATTTTCTTCTTGTTCTATCTAATAGTATAAGCCTTATTTTTTTAATTGTAGTTGGCTTCAACTTTTTGTGATCAGTCATTTCCTAAGAGCAGAGAGTAAGAAGTAGCAGTCATTACTTTTACATTTGACGAATACAGGATGTAGGTAAGAATTTCTGGATTACGTGATTAATCGATCTCTGGACTAGGTTACACAGATCTCCACCCTTACCAACAGATCGGCCAATCAGATAAGTTTTGATTATTTTTTTTTTATTTGATCTTTATATTTACTACTGCTTCTCTTTCTTCCGGGTTTGATTTCGCCGTTGGAGCCGTCGTTACTGGAGTTATTATTGGAGTCACCGTTTTCTTCGTCTTGAAGTTTTTTTCATATATAATTGCTTCTCTTCTTTCGGGTTCTTCTTCTGGGTGGAATTCGCCGTGGGAGCCGTCGTTTCGGGTAAGTTTTTCATCCTGGTGTCATGTTTTTTTTTTTTTTAATATATTTACTACTGCTTTCTTCTCTTTTTTCCGGGTTTGATTTCACCGTTAGAGCCGTCGTTACTGGAGTTATTATTGGAGTCGCCGTTTTCTTCATCTTGAGGGGTTTTTTTTCATATATAATTGCTTCTCTTCTTTTGGGTTCTTATATTTACTGCTGTTTCTCTTTCTTCTGGGTGTGAATTCGCCGTGGGAGCCGTCGTTTCGGGTAAGTTTTTCGTCCTGGTATCATTTTTTTTTTTTTTTTTTAATATATTTCCTACTCTTTCTTCTGGGTTTGATTTCGCCATTGGAGCCGTCGTTACTGGAGTTATTAGAGTTGTCGTTTTTGGTGTAGCATCGTCGTGGAGTTGTTGTGCTGTTGACATTTCGTTGTAATTGTGCTGGTTCTTTTTGTTGGGAATTTTTTGTGTAGTGTGATGTATTTTTTACTATAAGTAAATTTGTAATAATATGATTTTATTTATTTATTTTTTTTTTTATAAATAAATTTTAATAATAAATTTTAAAATATGCTTGCACATGATCGATTCTTATTGGTCGATCCAAGTGCTCACGTAATCACGTGATATCGACCTAGGCCGGCGGTCGGCGAATCACGTGATCCGGAAAATTTCACCTACATCCTGTATTATTTCTTTTACATCTAGATGAATAGTAATTCCTTCGATTTCAATAGGAAGGTTTTTGATAATTCCTAAAGGTCTAGTAGAGGGTCCTGTGGCTAATACAATCAAGCTAGTAGAGGAAGCTTCAATCTTTAGATCAAGTTCTTTGACAACTTGATGTGAGATCATACTAATTGCAGCATTACTATCAATGACAGCATAATAGGGTCTGTTTCTGAGTTTAATGTTGCATTTAACAGGAGTAGTATAAGTTGGTGTCTGTGTCTGGTTAGGAGTGCTAGATTCTTCATTAAGATAACTAGCTAAGACTGTTCTAATAGATTCATTGACTAAGAAAGTTTCGAATTGTTCATAGGTATAGTCATTGGCAGTATCTGCGATATATATATCTCGAGGATAAGGGGTAGAGGATCGACTTCGAGATCTGTTATTTCGATCATAGGAGGAGCAATTATTAGAGTGATATCTGTCACAAGATTGGCTTCTACTTCTGGATCTATTACATCGGTCATAGTCTCAATTTCTGGATCTGTCCTGATTGCGAAATCGAGATCTATTATAGGATCGATTATTTTGAGAAGAATATCTATAGTCTCGACTAGGGAATCGATAATTTCGAGAGTTCCTTCAGCTATCCTCTTTTTTAATTCTACAATCTCTAATAAAATGTCTTCTGTTACCACAATAGTAACAGGTGGCATCTCGGGAGTTGTTGTTGTTGTTGTCTCGTCAGAGGGAGTTATTATTATTGTTATTGTTAGTTTCGGAGTAATAGACAGAAGTAGTAGGTTGTTATGCAGCTAAGTTGATATTAAGCTTAGCAAGTTGTTCGGTAAGTTGTTCCATGACTTGGGTATTGCCATCACTATTTGTATTGTTTTCAGCAGCCATGACCTGTCCTGTTTCTCATCTTTGTGCTTCTGTTATAGCAGCATCTAAGTTAGCAAGTTCTGCAGCTTGTATATTAACAGCATACTCGGGGTGTAGTCTTTGTATGAAAAATTGAACTAATAGGGCTGCAGGGAGATGATTAGCAGGGTCTACTAATGATATAATCATTTAAATCGACTAACATAAGTATTGACTGTGTCTGTTCCTTGTTTAATTTCAAAAAGCTGTTTTTGCCAAGTTGCTTTTTGTTTAGAAGGTTAGCTTTAGCAGCACGATCAAATTCTTCTATCCATATTATAGAGTCTTGAGTTCTGTCATCTTGATAAAAATCTATCTTAATAAGAGACTTTTCACCACCATGTCCAAGGGCAGCAGCTATAGCAGCCATAGTTTTAGCAGCCTGGGTAAGAGCTTGGTTGGTTTGTTATGCCATGTTATTATTAGGTTCTTTATCATTAGTTACAGTAGAGTTAGTTCCAGTATCAGATACTTGTTCATCTATTTCTTTTTCAGGTAGTTCAGTATTATTATTAGGGACTTGGTTATCATCTAGTTCTTCTAATAAAGGGCAGTAAGAAGTTGATTTTGAGGTGGATGAGTATTTAAAGGAGTTGTGCTAGAATTTAAGTTAGTTTCTGGGTAGGTTTTGGATGCAGTAGGAGTATTAATAGGAGGTAAGTTAGTAGTAGATATAATATAGTTAAAAAATTGGGTGAATCAGTTAACAGGTTGGGTTCGAGAGAGGTTAACTACAAGAGGAGGTGTAGCATATAAGGGAATATCAGTATAAAGAGGATTAGGGGTATTAGGTCTAAGTAGAAATTGAATTGGAGTTGTATTTTCGTCATTGGGAGTAAAGAAAATGTAGAGGTAGTTATATCAGGGATATCTTCTAGGTCTTCTGGTTGTAAAGTAGGGCTTCGTTCAGGTAAATTGCTAGGATATATAGGAGTATTTTCACTTTGGAATATAAAGGATACAGGTGAACTAGAGTCTTCTAATTCTTGGTCAATATCAGTGGGTTGGTAGACACTAGGTGTATACTCAGAGTCTTCAATATAGAGATCAAAAACATTGAAGACAAATCCTAGAGGCAAGTAAGAAGCAAGCCGATATCTAGTATAATTAGTTAAAAGTGTAGTTGCTACTCGGTGAGGGCTTTCAAGAAGGAGTCGATATCTGCAACTAAAGATAAGATTTCTGACTGAAACTCGAGCTAAAGAGTAGTCAGGGTCTGTAGTTAGGTCAAGG